CCGGGCATCGCGCCAAAACTCTGGGGCCGCGTCCTCGCGGCCCACGAGTGGAAGGGCGACGGCGACCGCCTCCTCGCGCTCCGGGGGCTCCGCGCGCGCGACGCGGCCGCCGCGTACGACGTCGCCGTCGACTTTACGAATCTCGCGGACGCGGACGCGTGCGCCGGCGGCGACGCGGCCTGCGGCGCGCCCTGGGCGACGCGGCGCCTCGCGCCGCTGCTCCGGGCCTTCTGGCGCGCCGCGGCGCTGAACGCGGCCGTCAGGGCAGCAAAAGAGAGCGAAATTCCCAACTTCAAAGGCTCATATCTCGGCCGTTTTCCACTCGTTTTGGCTGATTTTTGGACGAGCGATCATCTCTCGGAACGGTCTCGAAGCGTGGATGCTTTTCTCGGAACGCGCGCGCGCGGAACGCTCACGTTGAAGCGACGTTGAACCACCCTTTTGCTGCCCAGGCGGCCGTCGCGCTGCTCGCGTCCGGCGAGCCGCAGGCGGCGATCGACGCGCTCGCGCGCGACCGGCCGAGCCCGGGCCTCCTGCGCGCGGAGCCCGACGACGCCGACGGCCTCTTCTGCCGCGCCGAGGCCCTGTCGCGCCTCCGCTTCCCGAAGCTCGCGCTCGACCAGCTCGACCTGGTGAAGGCGACGCACGGCGCGGCGCTCACGGAGCGGCAGGCCCGGACCCTCGACGCGGCGCGCGACCACGCGGCGGAGAAGATCGCCCGCCCTCGCCAAGCCCAAGCGCAAGACGAAGAAGCGCTGGTAAATTTTAGTTGATTTGAGGGTAGTCTCACCAGCCGCCCGCGGGCGCCACGAAGGCGGCGATCGCGAGGAGGCAGTCGTCGGGGACCGGGGCGCACTTGGAGACGATGGACTTGGTAATGTTGCGATGCTCGACGATGTAGTTTTCCCAGCCGCCCGCGGCTTTGACGGATTTGAGGAACGCGCGCGCGGGCCCCCCCGAAAGCACATATTTGTGGCTATCGTCAAAAGGCACTCCAGCGCGGAGCAGGATCTTGAGAACGCGGCGAGTCTCGCGCCCCCTACTTGTATAGTGAAGATGAGCCATGCGCCAAACG